AACGGCAATGATAATCGTCTACTTCTTTAGTTCAATTTATAAGTTATTTCTAATATGTTTCACCAGTATCAAAAAAAACCTTAAAACTTATTAACTTTATCTTAAAATTTAATAACTTATCAATTTTGCCCTTGTTAAATATACATAATTTAATAACATATTTTTTCTCTCCAAGATTCAATAGAGGGTAAAAGAAAAAATTTGTGATAAAAATTTAATGATGTGACTTATAAATAGGATCAAAAAAATTTTCTCTCCTTGTCCTATGAATAGGACCAGAGAGAGTATTTGTTTTCGGCCAAAAACAATTTCAATGATAAACTAATTTTGTGATTTGGATGAAAAGAGCCAGAGTCGATAGCAAAGAAATACCCTAAAAGGTGGGCATTTTACCATTCAGCCCAAGAAATTCATAGGAATGGGTTAAAAAGTATAAACTGAAAAGAAATAGGCAATTTTAGGCCCAAAATAGAGAAAAGAAATACTCCCTCTGTCTTTATATATAAATTATTTTTAATTAAATTTTTATGTCAATAAAAATTTATTATTTAATTGAAAGCTTATAAAATCATAATATTTTTTTCAGTTTTGCTCTTAATAAATGTCACACTTAATATCATAATGATAAGTAAAGCACATAATAAATATTTCTTTTTTCTTTTCAAGACAAGAGTAAAATTATTATGACAACTCTTATATTTAGAGACAAGATAAATTTTTAAAAAACACTTTATAATGGAGGGAGTAGGTAATATACTGGTGTACTAGAGGAAATTACTTTTAAAAGCAAAAGGTGAAACGGCGATTAGAAAGCACGCGTGAAACATTATTTTGTTTAATCTTTTCTTTTTATGGCCTCTCGTTCCTGGAAAATAAAAAACACGAGAACACTTGCAATTTTCCACGTTCCTCCTTTACTGGCTTATTTTCCATGGGAGACCCTCAATTTTTTATTACTCACAAGTATAATCTTATTTAAGATAATCATGTTCAAGCTATAGTCGGATATGAAATGTATGTACCATCTGAATCCATTACCTGGAAAGCTTATTCTCACCATCAATATCATCACAATCCTAAGAAAGTTCCCAAGACATTTTACCATATGCCTTAGTTTGTCATTCATGTTTAAATAGCGCACACCACCAATTTAGATTCCATTGTAGTATATAATTATTCAATGTTAATATTCACGGAAAAAGATGAAGCTGTGAGGAAGGTTACCGGGGACACGGCAAAGAAATTTGAGCCTTATGAGAGGAGAAATATCTGGTTCTGTTGAATAAAAAAATGATCGCTAGAGGACTTTGTGACTGTGGAAGAGACATAGAAGTAGTGCAAGTAATTAGACACATTTCATAAGAGTGAACTGCAAGTTGGATTGGCATCATCATCAGCACCCCAAAAAAAGAAGCTTATAGAAATGAGGTCCAAGGAATAATTATCAGAAACATCAAAAGTACAGAAATATTTATGATCATAAAATATAACAGTAAAGTTATAACACACATATTGTTGCAAACGAGAGAAATAAACTATCAAATCACTCACTTACGCAAGCTGTTAAAATGGAAAGTGATATATATGTTGGAGGGTGTTGTTTGAATAATAAGACATGCAGTTAATGTCAGGGGTTCAAATCTGATCCTGATACAAAATATTTCACAATGATTGGTTATTTCGATATTCGAAAGTTCTAATTTGTGATTTTCCCTTCACAGATTGGCCCATCGTACCGTCTTGAATGGGCAAAACGTGCAAGAACCAGGGCACCGAAAGAGGAGGATGACTTGCTTTTTGGGTCGCAGAGACTCAATATAATAACAAAAAGAAGACCAAAAAGTAGCTTTTGATCTACCAATACTGGCAAGTAGCAAGTGGTCATGATTCTTGAGGCTCATACCAATACTAGAAATTTGATCAGCAGAAAGCGGGAATTGAGGAGGATAATGAGCTATGCCTAGTTCATTTGAATAGAAATAGATAACAAGGGGACGTGACTTTAGGACTTTTGTTGTAGTGAAAGAGCTTTCACTTTATCATGTTTCCTTGGTGCGTAGACAAGCAATTGTTGTGGGCCACTAACTGTTTGAAGTTTCTTAATATAATGAGGTACGTGTGAAAGGAATTATATTGGACGGGTTAATTTAATTTGAATTTTAAAAGATGCCGACAGGATATTAAAATCCTATTTATTTAAAGATTAATAAATCTAAGATAATTATAAAATAAAATAATACTCCTAATGAATACAGACAATCCTAATGAATATTCAAAATATCCTTAATGATAGCCTTAATATGTATGTGTACAGACAACACGAGACAACGAGTATGTATGAATTATGGATAATTATCTACCTTGTGAAAAGGTCATGGTTGATGTATAAATGGGAAGTTTGGGAGATGATGAAGAGGAGCCTAGAAAGATTCGTCCATGAAATCCTTCAAACAGGAGGCACCATCATCTCCCAGTGCAGATGCAAGTGCTCAGAAAAAGTCGATACTTTTATTTTAATTTTTATAATTTTATTTTTTAAAATATACAGATCAATAATTTTACATAATGATTAAAATTATAGAGATTGAATTGCACTGAATTAAAGTTCAATGATTGAATTACAACTGAATCAAAATTTTATAAAGGTTGAATTACATCAAGTTAAAATTCAATGATTAAGTTAAAATTACAAAAACCAAGTGATTTAATTTTGGAAAGGCAAATTTAGGGTCAGTTTGATTTTTGTTTTTATTTTTCTAAAAAAATTGTTTGAGTAGGTGCTTTGGATTTAAATGTTTTCAAAGTTGTTCTCATTTTCTATTTTCTGAAAAAAATAAAAATGAAAACAACTTAGAGCTTTTTTTCATTTTCATTTTTAATTTTTAAAGCATACTATATTTAATTATTATAAGTCAACTTTAGAGCATACTATATTTAATTATTATAAGTCAACTTTAGCCATGATCAAATACTATCATAGGTTATCATTGTTAATTACTGGTGACCATTACTATCGGTCATTTTTTTAACTCTAGAATTGTTTTCAAACAATGTAGTCAAACATATTTTCATTTTTTTTGTCTTAAAAAATAATTTTTTAAAATTATTTTACAAAATAGTTCTTTTTTAAAAAAAATAAGAACAAAACTAAACAATTCCTTAATTTTTAAACTTCAACTTCTCCAACCTTGTTGGCCAATCCAAAACGTAATCGAATCGATGGGGAGCTTAGTTCGCCAACTTGAATTAAGTTTTAACACCATGCATTTATATACACACACACGCACACACGCACGCACACAAAACACCACGCATTTTATATTGTATCAGTGCTCTTATTCATGGGTTAGGTGACAGCTTGTGTCTGTTGACCCAAAAAAAGGCATGCCTTTCTCTTTCGGCCCCGCTTCTTACGCGTTTTTTTTTTTTGTTTTTATTTTTTGTGCGTGTTGGGCTAAGCCTATTGACCTAAAAAGAAGTTGAAGCAGGTCTTTTTCTTGAGAGAATTTCAATACAAGACCCTTGATCAAACCTATTTACATTTAAAACTCTTAAATTTTTAAAATTTTACTGCTGTCTAAGGATACTGATTTGATATTAAATTTTTAAGAGAAATAATAAAATTGCCCCTCCTTTAAATTAATATTAGAGTTTTCCTACTTCACTTGTTTATTTACTTATGAAATGTTGGTAATTGCTCTACTTAATTTATTTTTATTTTAAGTGTTTAAATCATCTTAAAATAATTTATTAATTCCTATATTGTATGTTATTTATTTATTTTTAAACTATTATTAATTTCTCTATTTCATTTGTTTATTGCCTTACTTCACTTTTTCATTGCCAAACTTTCACTTAATATTATTCTAAAGAAATAAACAAGTGAAATAGAAAAATTAACAATATTCAGTGAGTAAATGAATAAATGAAGTATGACAATTAACAAGTAAAGTAGGGTAGTTTTGATATTAATTTAAATGAAAGGAAGTTTTATTATTTTTTTTAGAAATTTAATATCAAATAAGTATCTCTAGACTACAATGAAATTTTAAAAATTTAAGGGTTTTAAATGTAACTAACTATGGTCAAAGGGTCTTTATTGGAATTATCCCTTTTCCTTTTGCTCCTGCTTCTTACGCCTGCTGCTGGTTGAGGACCAACTACTTAAATTTGAGGTTTGTCGTAGAAGCAGGAACGTGGTCTCGCCCTCGTCCTTAACTCAAATGGCTTGTGGCAAATTAAATCTCTCTCTATATCACCATTACCATTATTCTCCACACTTATTGCTTCCATGAATTCCAACCATGTCCCAGGTATTTCTTGCTCCTTGTTTGGCGTTATTCAACATCAAAACACAGTCTCTCTTCAACTCTAGTTACATTTTTGTAGATTTGGCTAAGAAATTTACTACTTTCATGAAAGTAAACGTGACCAAAAGGGAAAGAATTACATTTTCCACGTGGAAAACGATAATGATTCATGCATGCCTGTGATTTTTCAACATTTTTTCAAAGAATGGAAAACGTCTTATTTAGTTGTATGAACTCTCATAATTTTTGTTATAAGTCTTACATTGTGAAGCCGCTTCACAAGAATAGCAGAATTTACAAGTTGAAGAAACTCTCCCTTCCAACATGCAATTTTTTTGGGATAGGTTCTTTTTTGGACTAGTATATGTAAAATTTGTACTTTCACTAAAAGACTGATATTACAAAGAGCTACCCATGGAGGGTCATGCCATGCCATTGGCTCTTAAATGGGAATGCATTGTTATGAGTGTTATATTGGAAAGGTTTGAGGGTTCAAGGATCTCCCAACCTAACAAACTATTCTTTTAGAACAGACTCTTTTGACTTGTGCTTGTAAACGTAACAGTTTCGCACTTGATTGATGTGAAATTAATTAATAATGTGACAACCGAACAAAACCTGCACAGAAAAGTTGTACACATGTATACATAACAACTAACCAGTCCTTGAAATAAATTGTATGCAGAGACAATGAGTTCGTCGGACGTCGAACTGCAGGAAAACAAAAGGGACAAACTATTTAGTGCTGTCATGAAAGGAAAGTGGTTGGAAGTCATTGAAATGTACAAGCAAGAAAGGGATGTTCGCACGGTCGAGATAACAACAAGAGACAATGTGATACACATGGCAGCTCTTAGTGGGGATGCGAAGGTTGTGGCAAACATCGTGGACTTTGAATGTGAGGAGAGGGACATAGTCCTTAGGGCCGGGAATGATAGAAAAAACACGCCTCTTCATTTTGCAGCTTCAATGGGGAATGTTGAAATCTGTCGGAAGATAGGCGGCGCAGACTCCTTAGTTACTATGCGCAACATCGCCGGCGAGACACCCCTCTTCCTGGCGGCTTTCCATGGCAAAAAACAAGCTTTTCTTTGGCTTCATTATCTCTATATGGAGAGCCCTGGAGCTTCTTCAACCAACCATAGAGCTGGAGCTTCTTCAACTGACCATCCATACTGGAGAAGGAACAATGAGGATACCATTCTTCATTGCGCAATTGCAGAAGGCCATATTGGTAAATCCAAACTAATTAATATTCAATTTTTCATAGTAGTGTTGTTTTAATTTTATTAGTGTACTGATCAAGTACTGCATGCAAGTGCATGGTTGGGTTTGATTTCGCAGATGTGATAATTGAAATAGTTTACCTCTATAAAGATCATTTGAGAAAGATGATGATGCCAAACAAGGAAGGGTTGACCCCACTACACATCCTAGCAGCAAAGCGTTTAGCATTCAAAAGTACTGATCTCCTTGATCGATCTATCCTTGTTCGTCCCTTTTATTGTAAGTACTGTGCTATTGTCCATTGAAGAGTATGCGGTGTGAGTCAACACTACACACACACACACACACACACACACACACACACACAAAATACTAATATGGACTTTCTGTTTGGAACTTGGAAGGGCTTTTCAGAGTTAAGAAGAAGAAGCAGGCCATGACGAAGAAAGAATTGGAACAATGCGAACGCAAATTACTTGTCAGGGTTATAATTTGGGTTCTGATAGTCCTGCAAGCCCTGCCAATAGCCCTTCTAATAATCCTGCAAGCCCTGCCGATCCTCCCCTCATTAATATTATTTATTGTAGCAGGTACGCCATGTCAACGTGCATGCAAGAGCCAACATGCAAACTCTATATTCACCACTCCCTATCTCTATATTTATATACTCTCTTCGTTCCAAATCATAAAATAATTTTAGAGGAATTTTGATGTCTTGTCCCAAAATATAAGATAATTTTTAAAAAAATAAAGTTTCGTTAATCATACTTTTCCAATATTACTTTTTAAGTGAGGGATAATTGAAATAATATTGTAGCTTAACAATTAAGTCACTAAAAAAATAACTTTTGATGGCGGTTTTTAATAGCAATGAAAAAAGTCACCGCCAAAGGCTTACTTTTGGTGGCGACAGTTAGAAATCATTGTCAAAAGTTGACCTTTGACGGTGATATTATATTGTCACTAAAAGTCGTTGTTAATATTAGATTTTTAGCGGCAATTTTTAAAAGTCCCTGTCAAAGGCTTCCTTTTAACAGTGACTTTTAATTGTCACTGACAGTTTGTCACCACCAAAAATATTTTCATAAAAAATTAATTAGAAAATTAAAAATAATTTATGTAATTATTTTTAGAGGTGACAGTTTGTCACCTCCAAAAGTATTTTCATAAAAAAGTAATTAAAAATAAAAATAATTTATATAATTACCTTTAACAATGACAATTTATTGCCGCCAAAAGTATTATCATAAAAAATAATTAAAAAATTAAAAATATTTTATGTAATTACCTTTAGCGGCAACAAAAGTATTTTCATAAAAAATTGTAATGACCCTAAAAACAATAAAAAAAATTCTCTCAATTTATAGTTTATTTAAGTTAGTTTTATGATAAAAGATGAGTGGTGACTTAGTGAAACTCATGCTAATAGTTTATTTGAAGGCCTAAAGTTTGAATTCTTTTGAGTAATAGGTTAAATTTTATTTAGTTTAAAATTTGAAAAAAATTACCAAAGTGCCTATGATTTTTATGTTATTAGAGAAAAGTGCTATGCCTTTTTTGTAATTTTTGCGATCTCTTAGTGATTCAAGCTTTTACTCTCTTCTCTCTCGGTTAGACCACACGAAAAAGAAAAAAATTTCCCTCTGTTTTTCAAAAACTCTAGAACCAGCGAGTATGAGAGGGAGATTCAGATAGCAACTGCGTTGATCTTCCCTCTTCTTCTTCCTCCTTCATTGAGACTGAGGCCAGCGACCCTAGCCGTCGACGAGAGCAGGAGCTTTGCTCGCCACTGCTATAACGTTTGCTGAGAACCACTGCGTTGAGGCGCAGATCGCAAGACCAAGGTTCCCCTGTTTAGCGTCCAAGCTCTTCCCTTTTCCTTTTCTTCTTTTCGTCAATCATCGTGAGGCTTCCTTCTCCGCCAGTCAGTTCGCCGTCGACAGGTGCGTGAATTCCAGCCATCACCATCAAGTCTTCATCTTCTCTGTTCGGATGTCGGGTTCCTCTTTCCTCTTCGAGCAGCAGCAATAATCTGGTGCGTAACCTTTCTGGTGTGGATGTTGGGTGCATCAGACTTTTCCTTCCCTTGTTTCAATGTCGACTGCCTCTCTTCTCCTTCCTCATATTCACACGGTGACACTTTCTTCTCCATATGGTTCTGAATCTGCTGATCTGTGTGTTGGAGCTTTAAGCTCTGCCTTTCATTTGTTTCAACTGATCGGGTGAGTAAATCTCACCTCTTGCTTCCTTGCTTGATCTGTCTATTTCTGCATAGGTGGTTTATGGCTAAAGCTGTGAGTATTGCTTCCTTGTTGCTGCGTGCATACCATTTTATGTTGAGATTGTGAATTTTCCTCCATTTTTCTGCAAACCGTGAGTAATGTGCAAGGCTAGAAATTTGACTTTTTCTTGAGTACTAAAAATTTATAATTACTGAAGGATTTAAATTGGAGAGCTGGATTATTTCAATTCTAGATATTAAAAAATTTGGGAAATGAAATTTGAAGAAAATGAAGTTTGGAATTTGTCAAAGGACTCATGCTTATAAGGTGTTTGATAAGTTGCCTTTAGGTGAGTCTTGCTCGATTTTTATGTTTATGAAGTTTCATTAATTATTGTGAGAAGTATATTTAGTTTGGGTGTTATTAATTCATGAATTTAACTTATAGGTTGCAAATCAAAAGAATTGGATTATGAATTTGCATGTAACTACTTAAATTCTTGAGGATAGTATGGTAATTTATAATTACTGAATAAAAAATGGAACGTTAGAAAATTCTATTTGTATGGCTGAAAATAATGTACCTAAAGTTCTATTTGTATGGCTGAAAATAATGTACCTAAAGTGTTTGATGTAAAGCCTAAGAGAAAATTTTATCTCAAACAAATAGGTTGGTATGGCTAAAGAATTATGTAGGAAATTGATGACTTGAATGGTAATATTTCGACATTGTTATTTGTAAATCTAATTGAGTTCTTGCAAAGGAGTTTATTTAAGAAGTTATTGAGGTCTTATTTGAGTTTTGGATTATTGAGAGTTGCAAAATTGAAAAGTTATAAAGTATATTATCATTTTAAAAGTTATACTTGGATTCTTGGAAATAGTCAAGCAATAGAATTAAAGGTTTCGTGTTTTATTGAATGGTTTGGAATGTCACACATTAAATGTTTGGTAAAAAGCCTAAGAAGAAATCTTTATGAATGAATTGTGCTCTTAGAACTTTAAAATTATTATTGTTAACTTTAGTTGAGTGGGTTTTCTCGAAATGGGATCTTGTTGGTTTAAAAAGATAAAGTCCTTTAAAATATTATTATTATATTATAGGATATTTGGAAGAAGGAAAGCTCAAATAGAGTCATAAAAAATAAGTTTGGAGCCTTGAGGATACTATAGGTAAGTGGATAACGTCCCAATCAATTTATAAATTAAAAAGTTTTCTTTATCAAAATATTGATTTAACAATTTATAGATATTATATATTTCTCTTGCATTAGCTCCTTTTGTTAATTAAATTTATTTTACTTCTTAGAGTCATGATATATACTTGTTAGATTGACGAAAATAATTTTATAAATTCTAGTACTCTTTTATTTAATAAAGACAATCATGAAAATCGATAGAGAAGTTTATGAAATATTAGTTGTGAATTTTCATATTTGAAAGAATTAATGCTTTAATCAGCTCATGTGAATTTGATATTGAAAAGAGAAAATTTTATTGTGAAAGTGATGATTTTCTCGCATGTTTGAAAATGGATTTGAATGGGACTTTATATAGAACACTGGTTGCTAACGGCAGATTCGTTAGTCCTTAGCGCGCCATGGTATACCTAGTTAGTAGAGTGTTTATAGGAGGTGCTAGTCTCGTGCGATGGCCAACGCATGTGAAACGGAGGGATGGTTATTCATGAGCATCGTACTCACGTTTGTTTCATGGTTTCGGTTGCGTTTGATTACTTACCCTCATGAATTGTGTGTCCACATTTGTCTTTGTGGTAAGAGCCGCGTTTGGTTATTTACTCTCATGAACTATGTGTTCGCATTTGTTAATTGTTTTGATAAGTCCCTGTAATATGAATTTAATTATTTGATGATTTTACATTCTAGTGGTTTTTAATTAGTAAATTATTTATAATTATTTATTTTATTTCTTGCAATCAAGTGATAATAATATTTGATATGATATTTTAATAGTTCAAGATTTTATTTAAACTTTATAAAATTCTTTTATTTTCGAAGATTATTAAATTTTTATGAAAATCGTTGCCTCTTTGAATTGCATCATTATTTCAAACTTTCCTTTTATTCATATTCAATTATTTATTGTTGGGACATTATTCACTGGAAAAGATATTTTGGTTTCAAATGGTATAATTGAACTCGTGACTCGAGATATCCACTGAGGAGTTTTATTGCTGAATTGAAGCAAAAGAATTATTTTAGTCAAATCCTAATTTGAACTTTATACCTACGTTGGCGTCTAGCCTTAGGTGTTCCATGTAGATTACAGGTAGGATCCTCACATTTCTTTTAAAATTAAATATTTGATTTAATATTATAACAATTTCTAATTACGCTATTAGTGTATTTAACGTATTGATTTCAGAGTTTCTCTGATTACGGCTTAAGGGATGTGAGTTTTGTACCCATATCCCGTGCCGGTCACACCTAATTTTTGGGGTGTGACAAAAATAATTAAAAATAAAAATAATTTATACAAATACTTTTAGCTTTTCATAAAAATTAAGAAATTAAAAAATATTTTTATAAAAATTAATTTAAATAATTACTTTTAGTGGTAAAATTTGTTGCCACTAAAGGTATTTAAATATAGAATGAGAAATAAATTATACATAAGATCAGTGATCTTTACTTTTAAAAATAATGATCTTGTTAAGCTAGTATTTTAATAATGATCTTATTTTAATAATTACATTTTAAAAAATTTCTTATGGATTATTTTTTAATAATGATCTTATTAAGCTAGCATACGTAATCAAGCTAAGTTATATATAAATAATAAATGAATTATTTTTTATGAATTATTTCAAAAAAATTCTTTAAATTATAATCAGGCTAAGTTATACATAAATACTTACTTACTTACATATATATATATACATAAATAACATTGAAATGTTAAAGTTGTATAGATGTTGTAATATGCAAATGGCATTACAGACCACTTGACACATTGTGTAGTTGATGCATGGTTTGGTATATATATGATGTCTACGTTGTCTGTTGAGCTCTACTTTTCACTACCACAAGATTATTTAAATAATACACCCCATATTTAATGATTATTTAAAATAAGAAAAAAATAAAATAGGTGAAGAATGCTTGACAGTTTTTAACCATCAAGTAAAGTTAGCTGTAATATGCGTCGCCTTGTTACTTGACCATTAAAAACTATCAAGTATTAACAAAAATAAGCATCAAGTATGGGGGTATTCTGTAGTAGTGTTTCCTCATCCGATTCTTGTTATTCAAATTACTCAAATTGTTTAATTGTATAAACTTATTAAAGTTTATTTTTTTAAAATTGTAAAGTTATTAGAAAGTATTTCCTATTATCTTGAGATTGACTCTGTTAAAAAGACTTTAATGAAAGTCCAAACTAATTTAGATCGAGTCAAGATAAGATTCTTTTCATTTTGATTATGAAATATCCAATTATATTTTTAATTTATTTTTTTTCTAGCATCTACTTTTATTTTATCACATATTCACTCATTTCTTATCTCAAAAACAATAAAGAATAATTGTTCAAAATGACTATTAACAAAATTTATATGATTAAAATAAATTTTTTATTAAAATATTTTTTAAGATAATAGAAAAATTGTAGATAAAATTTATTTTTAATAAAAGAAGAGGAAGCATTTAACTTGAGAAAAGATAAAAGTTAATAATTTATTTATTAATTTTTGAGAAAAATATGAAAAAAGTAAAACATATATATTTAACGTAAACTAATATAATACAAACTTATAAATATATTATATACTTAATTATTTTCATTTAAAAAAATAAAAAATAATATTTAAAAATTGGTTAAAATGTTTATAAGAAAATTTTTTAATATTTAAAAATTATTTCATTTTAAGTTTATGTTCCTAACAAAAATAATATTTGCTACAAAAAAATAATATTTTATTAAAAAATATAATATATACACACACACACTCATATAAATTATTTTATCATATTAATAAATGAAAATAAAATAAAATATATATGTATATATTTCTAATAAAATATTATTTGATATATGTGTATATAGTTAAATAATATATATTTAATTTCGTATATAATAACTGTAAGTGAATTTTAATTCAACTAGGAAAAAAGAAGGACTTAAGGCTTGGGAGGTGGAGGTTATGAGCTCAAATCCTAACTTGAACATATTTCACGATAAATATGTGATGTGGCATGTGGTGGCGATGTGGCACAAGTTGTCAGGTAACATAGCATGATGTGACACATACATGACAGGGTGACATGGCACTTGTTGTGGCATGAGATGACTCTTTTTTTATTAAAAAAAATCACTTTTTGGCTGCGACAAACATAATTGCAGCCAAAAGTATACCTTTTGCGGCAACAATTATCGCCACCAAAGATAAACTTTTAGCGATGAAATATTTTTAGTGGTGACAATTGTTGCCGCTAAAGATATACTTTTGGTGACGACTATGTTTATTGTTACCAAAAATTATTAGCGACAAGACTTTTGGTGGTAACCCTTTGGCAGTGAAAAGTCACTTCTAAAAATTTTTAGCAAAAACTTTTAAATTTTAGTCACTATCAAAAGTCATGTTTTTTGTAGTGAGTGTGTAAGGGCATTTTTAAAAATTTATAGTTATGTTTAAAAGAAATAAATTTATAAAGTGTCATTATTGTGTTTTATTAGTATATATAATCTTATATCAAATTGTCTTAAAATTTGGGATGGAGGGAGTATATTATACTGCCCCTGCTCAATTTTTTTATGCATGTGTGTATATGTTTTTATAATCTGAAAAAAATATATCATAAGATTAATTTATAATTAGATAATATTTTAAAAATATTTAAAGTAAAGTCATATATTTAATAGATTATTTTTAAAAAAATATTAAGAACATAGAACAAGTTTATAATTTTTATTATTTGTGTGTGGATGGGTGCGATAGAAAACTGTTAAAATATTATATTCTTGGTGGTGTACTCAAACTAATCTTAACGAACTATGCAAAATAAATAATAAAACTAAATTTATTTAAGTAATTACTCAATTTTCATGTATAATTTTAATGAATAAATATCCATCTTCAAATATCTCTAATAGATAACTTCAATTACCTTAATGGGTTAAATGGCAACTTGCTTCTAAACTATAAGCTCGGGAGTATCATGGATTATAAACTTGTTTTTGATACAATATTTTTTTTAATTTTTAAAAATGGTACAATAATATTGCCATAACAAAAAAAAATGTTAACTTTAATCACCAATTAACCAAAAAATTATAGAAAAATGATGTCAAAAATTATAAAAAAGGATTAATATTTTGATTCTAGTATTGGGTTCGTCTTCATTGGTGATCTTAACATGCTGCTATATTTAAACATATTTTATTTTAATTAGATATATACCGAAAAAATCTTTTGGAATAATAATGTTTTTGGAAAAAAAAAAAAAATTGTCCACTGACTGGTTATGATTTCGAGCAGGGATATGGTTCTATAAGATAAGAAAAATGAAGAAGACGCACACATGGTGTCTCCAGATGGTGAATGAACTTCGGCATGCTTCCGATGAAGAAATGTCAAAAATAATATCGAGAAACCCCTCTCAACATCTTTCAATTTCCCTGGAAACAGAAGAGGACATTAACGTTAACGGTAAGAAGATTAATGAAAATTCCAAGATGTTAGTTTATAAAGCATTATTATTATATTTTTCATATATAGAACTTTTGACATTTTAGGAATCATAATCATTCTTCACCTGCAACGATGGATGGTCACAAAGTTTTTTGCCACAAATTTATAATTGATTTGTGAATTTTCTCACTGAAAGATAAAATATTAAGTAAACAACATCAATATGTTTTCCTCTATATTTTAGTTATTTAAAATTTCAACACTGCAATTCTTTATTCTCTTCACGTTTTATTATCGTTATCTCTGTTACTCTAATCTCTCCTCTCATCTATTATTATTATTATTATCTCTCGTCGAATGAAGAATAGAAGAAAGTTTGTCATTCCTAATTAATCTTTCATTTTTGTTTCTAATCTCAACTTGTCTCTTTTTTTCCATTGTGTATAATATCAAACAAAGAATTTTAAATACATAAATTTTAAATCTCAATTTAAATCTATCAATTCAAACACTACCGGTATCTTTTGACTTTTGTTCAAATAGTATGGACATTTTCTTTTATTTTTAATATTTTACAAATAGTCCTTTTAAAACTAAAATGCAAATCGTAAAAAATAATTCTTGAATAATTTTTTCATAATGACACGTCCTTCTATATGTTAAAAGTACATGGAAGCCCTTTAAAACTAAAATGCAAATCGTAAAAAATAATTCTTGAATAATTTTTTCATAATGACACGTCCTTCTATATGTTAAAAGTACATGGAAGCCCTCTCTTAAATATTGAAAAATTGCACAGAAATTTCTCCATGTGCCTTTTAAACGACACTTACTTTTCCTCTATTTTTTGGGGAAAAATATTATCATGGAAACTGACTATTTCGATGGATCATATTCCATCAACATTACTATCGATATCAGCTTCACCTTATATCATCAATGAACCAAGATCACATCGAGTTTCTTAAATAATTGGAAACATTAATTCTGTTATGTGGTAAGAGTGAGTTTTGTCAAGCTTGCATGAATTTCTTAACTCGAACTGATGCAATGATAATCATATATTGTTTCCGACCAAAACAAAACTTTCAATGATAAACTGATTTTGTGATTTGGACTGTGAATGATTGGATAAATAGAGTCAGAGTCGATGGCAACACCAGCTTCTGGTATAATAATAATAATTGAGACACCGCTAATGATTGCTGCAAAGAACGGTGTGATAGAAATGGTGGACAAAATTCTGGAATTGCTTCCGTCGAGGATCAAAGATGTGAATGATGAGGGAAAAAACATATTTCTACTAGCAGTAGAATATAGGCAAACGGGGGTATACTGGTTTTTGAGGAAACAGAAAAAGTTTAGCGGAAGTATATGTCGAAAAGTGGATAAAGAAGGAAACAATGCATTGCATTTGGCAGCCAGGCTTGGAGTAGAGCATGATTGGCTGAATCCTGAGGAAGCACTCGCCATGTGAAGGGAAATCAAGTGGTTTGAGGTGCGTATGTTTGCTACTAATTCTTCTTACACTAATGAGGTCAAGATATTAAAATATAGAAACATGGTGATGCAGTTTGTGAAGAAGTTCATGCCCGCTGGTTTGTTGGAGAGATACAATAAGAATATGGAAACCCCAGACGACATCTTCAGAGACACTCACAAGGATCTGAGAAGCGACGGAGAGTGGTTGGCTAAAACCTCACAATCATGTTCTGTGGTGTCCACCCTGGTAGCGTCTTTGGCCTTCGCCACGCGTGACAATAGACGTACAAACACACTCATTTGTTTATCCATGTATTATTAATAATAAAACAAATGACCCAAACACTAAAATTAACCATGATTAACTTAGTCAAGTTTAGCCCATAATACCAATAAAGTCTCTAGAGACTTTTCTGTCATTAAAAAATTAATATAAATGACTAAATTGTCCTTACTTCAAATATTAATTGCCTGCCATTCATAAGTTTTGTTCTAAGGTTCACAATTTTTCTTTTTAAAATTGCAAAAATTCAACAACAATTTGCAAGTTTGCATTTGAAATCCTGATTTTTTTTCAAGTGTTGCAAATATCAATTACTATTTATAAGTTTTGTTTTAAGATTCACAACTTTTCTTCTTAAAATTGCAAGAATATAAACAACAATTCGCAAGTAAGCATTTGAAATCTTGAACCAAGGGCAATTTGGTCATTTATATTAATTTCTTAATGGCAAAAAAATCCTTAAAAACTTCATTGGTATTATGACATTTCGAGGGACCAAATAGTCATTCACATAATTCAAAGGGATTTTATTATCATTTGTTCTAAATTTTACTCTTCAAATTTTGGTGACAAAAAACAATTGATTGAAATATGAATAACATTATGAACTTGATATGCACGAAGATATTAATTTTCAAAACTTGACTATAGAGTGAAGTAAGTTCAAATTTTGTAGGTGTTAAAAAGTTTAATTCTTATATAGTGGTAAGTATTATGCCATGAGGAATTGAAAAACAAAACTTTAAAAACAAATATGCATATTTATTTCAGTTATTTATTTATAAAAATAAATTTTAATATATTAAATTATTTATGTTATATATATATATATATATATCTTTTGTTCAATTATAGTATATGCTTTGTAATCTTGGCTCTCCTAATAACTAAAAATTTCGACTCCACCCTTGACCGAGAGTGTATGATAGATAGCCCATCTTGAATACAAGATATATAAATCACTTGTAATATAATCACTAATTATTTCAAAATTTTCAAGATAATCATTAATCATCTAAGTAATATTAGGTCAGTAATACAAACAGTAATTATCCCAACAATTTAATCAAGTAATCCAATTAATTTAAAGTGCTCGGTTTGGTTAAGCCGACAGATATTTGAATCAGATAAGTTAATCATCATATGCACCCTTCTTGTTTTCCTGCCGACTTAAACTCGTGACTTCACCAATGAAAGTAATTAGAGACTTTGCTAGTGAGCCACAAGTTGGATTAGCATCATCATGAGCACCCCAAAAAAAGAAGTTAAATAAGTGATGAGGTCAAAGGAATAATTATTACAGTCTCAAAGTACAGTACTATCATATGATATGGAAACACTATACTTATCACACACGTATTATTGTGAACAAAAGGGAATTCAAACTATCGATCACACGAACCAAAGCGTTTAAAATGAAAGTGGTGATGGATTGTGTTGTTTGAAATATATAGTAAGACATGCACTTAATTTGGGGTGCTAAAATCTGTTCCCTTTTCCTTTTTCCGGGTCCTTCGGTACCGGATGGCACTAGTTGTGATGCGGTTTGGGGAAGGAAATTTGGTAAACATAGACCTTATTGTAGGACCAATGAATATGGGTAGTGAGACAAGAACAAGGACGGCGATTGGCGAGCCAAGAATTAAGTAATTAGTTGTTGAAGAGTGGTCATGGAGCATAAGAGAGATCCACAAAGAAACAATGGAGCTCAACATGAAGGATATACCAAGAAAAAGCATGAAAGGAACGTACTTCCAAAAGGTCAGAGAATGAGAACGAGAAGCAAGTATAGCCAAGAAGAAGATGGTGGAAGTGAGGGAGAAGGAAAGGGCCACAAGTGATAGGTTTGGAAAAGCTTTGAATCCAAATTTGTTTATAAGGATATTTGAGTTGCCCTTGTCGAAATTGTCAACCACATTGGAAAAGGCCATGGACGCAACCAAGGTCGATACCACAGAACATGCTTCTGAGGTTTTATTCAACCATTCTGTGTCACTTGTCATTTGCTCCCTGTAACTTTCTCCAAAGATTTCTTCAGCAATTTTCCCATCATTGTTGTGCCTCTCCCAAAAATCAAGAGGCACTGAGTTTTTCACAAACTGCATCACCATTTATATATGTACACGCCAATTTTATTGTAAAGTGATGATATATTTAAAGTGATGAGTATTTTAATAGCAAATAGAAACGCACCTCAAACCACTTGAATTCCTCAATCATGGTACATGTTTGCCAATTTAAGTTGACTCCAAGCTTGGCTGCCAAGTGCAATGCAGTGTTCCCGTCTTCATCCACTTGTCTAAATGCACTTTTGTCAAGGTTTCCATTTTCATACAAAAATTGATATACCTTGATCTGCCTCTTTTCTGCTGCTAGTAAAACTATGTTCTTCTTCTCATCATCATTCACATCTTTAATCGTGGATGGAAATTTTTTCAGAATCTTGTCTACCATTTCTATCACACCATTCTTCGCAGCAATCATTAGGGGTGTCTCCACTATTATAGACACCGGCTCTATCCAACAGTTCAAATCACAAAACTAAATAATATTGCTGCAATTTGAATTAAGAAAATTCATGCAAACTAGCTCAATTCTTAATACATGTATTCAATTAACTGAATTAATCTTTCTAAAGCTTGGAGTTTTCATGAATCCTTACCGTTGTCCTCTTTTCTTTTAGAGGAAGATGAAGGCCGTTGAGAGGGGGCTCTCGTTATTATTGTTGATATCTCATCATTGGAAGCATTTTGAAGAATTTGTTCTATTATTTGAACAGACCATGTGTGTTTCTCCTTCATTTTTCGTATTTCATGCAACCATGTCTCTAGGAATCAAAACTCATAGTCAGTTGCGCGGCAAAATATTTTTTGAAATTAATTTTTAGAAATGGTCTGTAATTATATATATAATTAAAAAAATATGTTCATTTAAAATTTTGTATTTAGCCAACAAGTTTAACCCATTAATTAAGAAACACCCCTAACAAACGCCCCGATAGGGACCGTTTCTTTATTAATTTAATTTTTTTTCATTTTTTGAATTGGGAGTTTTCAAAATTTTCAATTAATATTTAATTAAATAAATATTTCATTTCATTAATTAATATTTCTATTTTATTTTTATTTTTTATAAATTAAAAATTATTTACTCCATTTTCTTTTATTTTCAATTTGTTTTTAATTTTTATTTACAAAGATTAAATTATCACTTTATGTGTATGTAAAATTTTGTTATCAATTTTTTAATTGAATGTAGCTGTTGAAATGAAGATGAGGAGTAAATAATTTTTATTAAATACTATTTAATATTAAGGTGGGGAAAATAGAAATAGTGGAAATTGAACAGATGAAGATGAGGAAATTGCTGCTGAAATGGAAGAGGAGAACATTTGTTGATGAAGCCTCTGCTGCACATCTAGTGATGGGGAGCTTCTGATGATGAAGAGAAAGAAGAGGAGAGCATTGCGGAGATACACTAGCGAGATGGGCACGATTATGCTACAAGGAGAGATCTATTTGTAAGCAAAACACAAAATTGTATGAAAACACTGCTTGGGGGGGGGGGGGGTTGTTTGTCGGGCATTTTCCAAAAAAGCCCCCTCAGGCAGCGTTTCTTGACTAAATGCGGCTTGTAGCGGCGTTTCTTAAGAGAAGTGCTGCCACAGCAATATCTTTGGTGGCATTTTTCACAAACGCCTCAAAAGAAATGCCACCATTGCATAGTTTTATCGTAGCGAGGATTCTTTTCTTAAATTTAAATTTCAATAGAGCAGCGTGAGATTATGATTATTTTTTTATTGTTCATAAATATCTTCTTGTGAGAGGTAATTCTATTTAAAGCACAATCAAATACTAAATGTGAGCAACTTTTTTAATAGGATTCGAACTTTGGTTCTCCTCATTATGAGGGAGTAGTCCTATAACTTTTACTCAATAATTTCACTGCCAATTAGACACTCATAAGAGTATAGTTAACAGCTCTTGTAATGCATGACATGTCATTTAAAACAATGCTCATAACAACTCATGTAATGCACATGATACAATATTTAAAAGAAAAAAGAAAAATTACAAATAGGTTCTATACAGTAGACTTATTTATAAATAAGTCTTACAAAATTCAAAAACCATATCCAAATCTCTTGAGACTTAAATATATATAATTTGAAGTTTGAGTGCAAAGATAATACTATCCCAATTAATTTATCTTTCATTTACAATTTCAATTTGACAATTTACAAGTAAAATTTTGTAATTCAAGAGTCAAATTTTTTTATTTAATACTTGATATAATATAGAGTGTCCGTGGCATTAATTATGCCTATTTAAGGCTATAATTACAAGTAAATTATGAATTTTACATCCTAATTCGACTAATTATAGCCTTAAGTACATATAATTAACTTTATAAAAATTCAATGATATATCAAGCGTTGAATAAAAAATTCAACTTGTAAATTTCAAATTTTTACGTGTAGATTGTTGTATATCAAGTGTGGTGCAACTCAGAACCCTTTGACTCTAGTTCGGTAAAGTATGACCTTCTAGATTCTTGTCTGCGTTCCTTGTCTCTGGAATCCTTGGTTTTGCCTGAATTTTCATTGGGAATACTAGTAGATACAGAAATAGATATATAGCACGCTTTTCCAAATTAATCTATATAAATTGTACATTATATTTGTGCTAAGATGTATTAGAGATAATCATAACGGACTGTCTCGTTATGAGCTCTGGTTAGCTGTTATAACAGACTTGGTTAACTTAACCATGGTTAGGTATACTGTCAAAGTAGTATATATGAATACTGGACAGGTTTAGTAATAATATATTGCTTCAGCTCAGTTACCATTCAGACTGCCTTGTTCTCTACGATTACTCTCTTGTGCTCTGTTACCTTTCATGTTATTTAATTATTGCTCAAAACAACTAAAGCCATGGAAAAATCCATTGAATCCTCTCAATCATTACTGAGCAAGACTCCAAGCAAGGTATTGACCCCGACTACTCACAGTGATGTGATTACTTTCAATCGTCTAATAACAGTGAAGCTTGAGGAGCACAATTATCTCCAAGAAGCATAGCAGATAAGTACTGGGATCCATGGTCATGGACCAGTGCGATTCATTGACAAGAACACATAACCACTGACGGAGTATGTATATACCTATGGTGAAGGTGAAGGTGAAGGTGAAGGTTTCAAACTAAATCCTAACTTTCTTGTTGGTAGCAGCAAGATAAGCTGCTTATGTCTTGGATGTCATGCTCCACGTCCGAAGGCATCCTTACTTGGATCGTTGGATCCGAGACATCTCTCCTAATCTAGGAGAAGATCCAAACACATATTGCTTCACGGACTAAGGCCAAAGTGCGATAGCTTAAGATTAAGCTAAAGACCACGAAGAAAGGAAACCTCTCTACAAATGCTTATCTCCTTAAAATCAAGGAGATTGTTGATGTGATTGCTGCAGTAGGATATCCTATTACTAAAGCGGACCATATTAAACAAATCTTTGATGGTTTATCCGTAGCATATGATTCGTTTAATACTGCGATCACTATAAGAATCGATCTATACACTATTGATGGACGAGATCAAAGCTCAGTTGTCGGCATAAGAAGCTAGAATTAAGAAACATATGAAGGCTGCGATTGATAGGGTGAATTTTGTTCACACCAAGGGATTCTCGAAGTGCTCAATCCCGTGGAGGTCGTCGCGAACGTGGAAGATCTTTAGGATCTTCATCGTCCTCTAGATCCATTCGATCTTCTAACTCAAAAAGCTCTCTATCTTTCCAGGTCTACACCAAAACTGGTCATTTTGCATTTGACTGCTGGTATCGGTTTGATGAGGAATTTCAATCCATGAATGTCAGTGAAAAGTCTGGTCATAGTGCCTCTGTTGCTGCTACAGATTCTCTTGTTGATCCGGATTGGTATCTAGATTCTGGGTTACCACTCATGTCACTCATGACTGCAAGAATGTTGAAGAAATGTCCGATGATATCAACTCTAAAGATGTTTTTGTTGGTAATGGAGCTGATCTATCAGTTCATTGTACTAGACACACCACTACTGAATGTGCATGACACACCTTAAAACTTTCAATTATTCATCATGTTCATTGTGCTCATGACTTCCGTTGCTCGCTAGTTCTTCTCTTCCTTTCTCTTTGTGGGTTGAATCTTTTCATACTTTTATATATGTTCAGAACAGACTACCTACCAAGGTTCTTGGTGGTTTGTCACCTTTTGAAAAACTCTATGATAAAGCTCCTAGTTATGATCATTTGAGGAAAATTGGTTGTTCTTGTTTTCCTCTCACTCAACCTTATAACAGACACAAGATGGATTATGGGTCAATTGAGTGTGTATTTGTTGGCTACAGTTCTATTCATAAAGGCTATAAGTGTTGGCATCCTCACGGTAGGATGTATATTTCAAGAGATGTGATTTTCAATGAACATGAGTACCTATATGTTAGACTTACCACATCCTCCTTATCTCATCCTACCCTTCCCTCCTTGTCTTCCTTTCCTATGCCTTCTACGTCACCATCTGCTATTCACCTACCTCATCTTTAGTACAATGCTACTAACATTGTATCATCATTTGTAGTTTCTGATTGTGATACAGGTGGTGGAAATATGGACCCTGCAGTATGCTCTTCTCCTGTGACAGATCATGACAGTTGTAGTTCACCATTCCTCTCTTCTGAGGTTCCTCCTCAAGTTCATTGTGAAACACCAGTACCTCGCAAGCATCACATGTAACAAGATCAATGCATGGGATTTTTAAGCCCAAGATTTTCTTAACTGATTCTGAACCTACTTCTGTGGAAGATGATATCTGTCTTCACCAGACTGGAAACAAGCCACGGATGTTGAATATGATTCTTTAATAAAAAAACAAAACATGTCATCTCGTGCCTCTTCCTCCTATAAGCGAGCCATTGGCTGTAAGTGGGTGTGGAAACAGAAGAGTAACCTAAATGGCACCTTTGCCAAGAATAAAGCTCGGCTAGTTTTTAAGGCAATGACCATTAGGATCATATTGCCTATTGCAGTTGCTCAGAGGTGGAATATACATCAAATAGATGTTAATAATGCATATCTCAATGAATATCTCTAAGAGGAAGTGTACATGTAGCAGTTTCCAGGGCATGAACAAGGTAATAAAAATCTGGTATGTCATCTGGACAAGGTACTATATGGTCTCAAACAAGCACCATGTGCTTGGTTTGAGAGACTAAACTTAGCATTGTGTCAATTGAGATTCACATGCAGTAAATGTGATTAGTTCTTGTTCAATTGGGTCCGTGGTCCTAAGATTCTTTATGTTCTAGCATATCTACTCGGATATCAGAGGTTATAATAACTTTGAACAAGAATTTGCTCTGGAAGGTCTTGGGAATTTCAGCTGTTTTCTTGGGATTCAACATTCGAGTGAAGAGGTTAAGGGATGGCAATTTGTTCTTATTTTAGACTATGTATATATTCAAGATCTTTTGAAGAAGGCTAGTGTAATAGCCTTAAAATATATATATATATTAAAAAAAATTATATTAATATTAATATTAATTATAACATTTTTATGTATTTATTTCAAAATTTTGTAGATGTTTAAAAAAAATGTGTAGCCTAGTGATATATGTGGCAGCAAATCATTTATTAGGTTCTTGTAATTACTAAAAAAAAATTTAAGTAAAATTAAAATATGTAATAGTACCTTTTTAACAGTATTGTATTTGTTTCGTGGACATATTCGATAAGAAAAAAGGGTCGGTTAAGTAGAAATTAGATTAAGCAGACACTTATTTAGGTGGTCCCCTGATCGAACTTTCCAGATATTAAAAGTGATTTTTTTTAACCTCAAATTCCATTTTTGTCCATCTGCAATAAAAAGTAATGAATAAATAAGAGGAGGTGAGGAATTTCAGAACACACGCACGCACCACTACCCATTTCTTTCTTCTCTTCCTTATGAAATTTCGAACATTCAAGAGCCAGGAAGAATTACCTTCTCTCCCTCCATTTTTCGGCGCTAATCCCAGCTACCGTCGCCGGCGTGGCTCTTTGTTGCCGCCGTTGGAGAGTTGTACTGGTTAGGATCTCCCTTCTATGAGTTCTTCTTCCCCGTCTTGGTTCTGTTTTCTCTGGTTAGTGTTGCCGTCGATCACTGCTGTGGAGGCTGCGGGTGGTCTGGAACTTCCTCCTTACTCTTTCTCGGTCCATATATCACTGTAGGTACTGCTCTTGCAGCATAGCTTCTTCTTCCTCTGCTTTTCGTTGATTTCTCCTTCCCCTCCATTTTTGTCGGTGCTGCACATTCATGGCTGGAACTTCCAACTATTCTTTCAGTTAAGTTTGTGCGTGTGAATATGTTGTGAAATTTGCCTTTACTGCTGTGCGCACGTGTGTTTAATTAGTGTAGCTTGTGGTTGGTTTCTTTTCTCAGTTTGCTGCCGTGTGAAATGTGAGGAGATGAGAATCTGGATTCTCTTGAGCTAATACTGATTTATTCAAAGAAGAATATGGAACTTAGGGAGCTGAATTATTTATTTATCCATATTAGAGAATTTCGAGAGATGGAACAAATAGGAAGAAATTTGGATTAAGCTTGAAAAATTTATGCACATAAGGTGTTTGATATAATGGCCATTAGAAGCTTTGTTTTTTTTAAAAAAAATAATAAAAATAAAAATAGTGATCCTTGTGAGGGATATGTCTAAATTGAGTGTTGTTGCTCTATGAATTTAATTTGAAAATTCCAAAGGTAAATTGAGTATGAAAGTAGGATCAAATTACTTGAATTCTTAAGAAATATATGATTGTTGACAAATAATGTGATAATAGCTTTGAATGCTACAAAGCTCTTTTGAATGAATTGGAAAATTTGTTACGTCAACAAAGAAATGTTCGTGTACATTATGGATTCTAAAGTTTTAAATTTATAATCGTTATGTGTGTGCGTGTGTTAATGTTGGAAGAAGGTTTTTAGCATTGTTATAAGTATATTAAGTCCCTAATACACTCTATATTCAAGGAGTTGGGAAGAAAGATAAAAATTGATTAATGTGGTAAGAGGATAACCTTGTACTTTGAGAACATTTCAGGTAAGTGGATAGCGTCCCAACTGATTTTTTTTAATCAAAATTTCATTTACTAAAATATTATATTTTTCTGGAAATCATTTTTTATAGCATTAATGCGATTATTGAATATTTGTTGATTAACATTACTTTATTTTGAGAAATTAGCTTTACCAAATTTGAAATGTTATTTGATCAATTAAGTCAAGTTTGAACTTTGATTATGAGATTTTTATTTTATCAAATATTAGATTGATACAGAGAATGATTCATGCGAGTTCGATGTTGAAAATTTTTTTTATCCAATAAATGCAAGCATAAGCATCGGATATGAAATTTGATTCTGGCAAGTTTTAATGCTTAAAAGTATTCATGTGAGTTTGATTTTGAGAATGAGAACTGTATCTTGAAAGTGATGATTTTCTCGCATGTTTGAAAATGGTTTTAAAAAAAGAAACTTTATATAGAACACTGGTTGCTAACGGCAGTTCCGTTAGCCCTTGGCGCGCCATGGTACACCTAGCTAGCAGGGTGTTTATAGGAGGTGTTAGCCCCGTGCGATGGCCAACGCACGTGGAACGGAGGGATGGTTATTCGTGAGCATAGTACTCATGTTTGTTTCATGGCTTCACGCCGCGTTTGGTTAGCGATACCCTTGTGGACTGTGTGTTCATGTTTGTTTTGTGGCTTCGGCTGCGTTTGGTTACTTACCCTCGTGGATTGTGTGTCCACGTTTGTATTCGTGGTATAAGCCGCGTTCGATTATTTACCTTTGTGGACTGTGTGTCCACGTTTGTTTATTGTTCTAATAAGTCCCTAAAAATTTATGAATTTGACTATTTGGTGATTTTATATTTCATTAGTTTTATCTAGTAAATTATTTACAACCATTTATTTCATTTATGTGTTTTCTGAAAATCAAGTGATAAAAACATTTGTTATGATATTTCGATGGTTTAAGATTTTATTTAAAAATTTTATAGAGTCATTTTATTTTGAAGTTTATTAAATTTTTATGAAAATTATTGTCTGTTTAACTTACATGATTATTTCGAACTTTTTTTTTATTCATGTTAAATTATTTATTGTTGGGACGTTACTCACTGAAAAATTATTTTGGTCTCAGACACCTGAACTGACATGGATCTTTCTACCGATCCTCGAGCACTTATAGACATGTGGAGGGTTGATTGAAATTTTTTTTTTGATGTAATTATAAATTTTTATATATCTCATTTTTATTTTATTTTGAAAAGTACGATTAAGTGATCCACATAAGCTATAACTAGGAACTTTTATTTTTATATGTATGCTGTCTGTCGGCTAGAAGGAGCCAAGCTCCTGATTTATTTGATATTTTGACTGCATCAATATACTGTAGAAATTTTGAGAGATTTTATTTACAGGAGGGGTTTTGTTGAAATTTTTATGAACATGTTAAAACTTTATTATAATTATTAGTGTCAAAAGTGTTATAATTTCAATAAAAATCTGAATTAATTTTAGAAATAGAGTGAATTTACGATTTAAGGCTTACAGGGATGTGTGAAACGGTTCACATCTCGTGCCGGTCACTCTCCAAATTTTGGGGCGTGACAGCTAGTTTGTCTAAAGCTAAGGGTGAAAAGACTCCTATGACTTTTGGTCTGAAAATGTATAAAGAAGGGACTAATGTTCTAACTAATGCTGCTTTGCACAGGATGGTTGTAGGCTCATTACATTATGCAACCACTACCGGACCAGAAATATGTTTTGCTGTTAGTAAAGTTTGCCAATTTATGCAAAATCCCCTTGAGAAACAATGGAAAGAAGTGAAGAGAATTCTTAGATGTCTTGCTGGAACCATGACACATGGTTTAATTCTCAGACCATCAGTTTATTGTACACTTGTGGCCAAATGTAATGCAAACTAGGCTACAGATTGTAATGACTGCACAAGCACTATTGATAATTGTTTAGTTTGGTAAGGATTTAATTTCATGGTCTTCTAAGAAACAAACAACTGTTGCTCATTCAAGTACGGATGTACAGTACAGGAGTATGGCTTCTATTGATGTAGAAGTATTATTGTGGATTAAATCTTTGCTGCAGGAACTCTGTGTCAAGCTTGTTCATGTTCCTAGAGTGCTGTGTGATAACTTGGGTGCTATTCTATTAATGAAAAACCCAATTTTTCATGCTAGAAATAAACATCTTTAGCTTGATCTACATTTTTGTTTGGGAGCGTGCTATCAGACAAGAAATTGAAGTTCTTCATATTCATGTTTCATGTCAGATTGCAGAGGGTTTAACTAAATTAAACATGTGCCTAGTACTTTGTTTGAAGAATTTAAGAAGAGTTCAGGGATAAGAGATGTGCATTGAATTGAAGGGGAATATTAGAGATAATTATGTGTTTGTTATCTGGCTAGTTGTTATAACAGATTTGGTTAACTTAACTATGGTTAGGTATGTTGCCAATGTACTCTAAATGCTGGACACGTTTAGTAATAATATTGATTTAGCTTAGTTACTATTCAGACCTTTGTCTTGTTCTCTTCGATTACTCTCTTGTCTCTCTTGCTCTCTGTTACCTTATGCATGATGTCTCTATGCTCTTATATGCACATCAACATGGGGTATGTCTATGGGAGTGCTTGTACAAAAAGGCACTCTCATAAGTATAGGAGTACATTCGAAGTGCTCCACTAGGCATAGGCTATAAGAGTGCTTCTTTGTATAAGCTCTCTTATCCATAAATTAAAAAGTAAGTGTTCTTGTATTTATTATTATTATTATTTTTTTTGGTAATAGTGTGTACCTGATGAAAACAATGAACTTTCGAGGCTTGATAGGGGGTATAGAAACATAAGACCCAGCACCATCAGAGGAAACCAGACACATTGAGCCATAGGGGAGGATCTTGCATGATCTGCTTCACAATATGAGTCACAGAATTTTTAAATTGCTAAACATTATGCATGAATAAACCATATACCACTCGATTCCCGAACATTAATTATTGACATTCGCCCTCATGTTAACTTAATAAGTTGTTGAATTTAAAGAATGATGTAAAGAGTGAAGACAATATTCATAAATTGGAAACGTGACTCAAATAATATTTATATGATTAGTTTACCTAAAGTCAATATGATATGGAGTTCTTAAGTTTACAAGTGTCTGAGTTTTTTAGCATTTCAACAGTATAACAGGAATGATGTTTAATTCAAGGCACATTTCCCTGGCCAATTTTTGAAATGCTAAAATATGAAGGAAAAACTCAAATGCTAATAATATGAAGAAAATTGGAATATTATACTTTTGAAATGCTAAAAAACTCATAACAGGAAACATCATTCTCTTCTCTATATATGAAGAAAAGAAAATTGGCCAGGGAACCAGCTTGTAACTCCTGCTTACCTCTACAACACTCGAATAGTGCTTTCATGAGCACCTTGACGCATAGTGCGGGTTCACGTAATGATGCCACTTCTTCCTTCTTCGTGGCCCGCTCCTTCTTCTCAACAAAAATCCCTTCCAAATTCAAAACAAGCAAGCAACCCACGAGCATATTATTATTATTTTCATAATATAAAACACAATGAATTTACATAGTACACAAAGTACAAATACTTGTCTTGAAGAGCCAAGCTTGCATGGATTGACAGAGACATGCTTACGTATATACAATGCATTCCCTACAAGGAAAATGGTACTTACAAGGATAAATGAGTCGAGAAACGAAAGATCGATCAAGTAGATCAGTACTTTCGAAAGCTGAAGGCATTGTTGCCAAGAGATGGAGCGGAGACAACCCATCCTTGTTGCGCCTCAACATCATCTCTTTCTCATAAAGCCGAACTATTTCGAGTGCCACATCTGCAAAATCAAAGCAAACCATATGAGTTTGAAGTAATTTGTTAATATACATACGAAAAAAATGAAAATTAGTTTGGACTTATGCCTAAATGCCCTTGTGCAATGGAACAGTGAAGAATGGTGTCCTCGTCGTCCCTTATGCAGTGAGCAATGTCGGTTGAAGAAACTCCATGGCTGTCCATGTACAGATAATGAAGCCAAAGAAAAGCTTTTTTCCTGCCGGAGAAAGCCGCCAAAAAGAGCGGTGTCTCCCCGGCGATGTTGCGTCTGGCAATTAAGGAGGGGTCTGCCTCACCGATCTTCTTACACATTTTATAAGCATTCCCCTTTGAAGCTGCCAAATGCAGAGGATTGTTCTTCCTATCATTCTCGGCCCCAAGGACAAGCTGCTTCTCATTTTCATCCACTGACAACAATGGCTCCGACCTGTTAGCCCGGTCATATCTCTTTCCACAAACCAAGTCCACCATCTTTTCCACCTCCTTTACTTTCCCACTGGACACAGCCATGTGTAATATGGTGTCTCCTGTGGCTGTTAACTTGGCCCTGCGAAGCTCCCCGTGGCTGTAGTTCTCGTACATTTTAAGCACTTCTGACCACTTGCCATTCTTGGCAAAACTGTGTAACTTCTCTGCCTCTCCATTCAGCTCGACCGTACTCATTAATATTGTCTCCTACACAATTGGCCTCAATGTGTAAATTAATTTTAATTTCATGTATATGACGTGGACAACACAGAACCTCCAGCTCTAATTATGACGAAGTTAATCAATCTCTTCACGGTTATTAGAGAAAGATATTAATCTTTAAATTTGAATAAAAATGTTTGACTTTCTAATTTTACCCTTCACTAAAATTTATAACCATGCACAATATAATTTGTCTAGCAATTAGCTTAGTGTAATTAAGGAGGGGCAAAACATTACTGTTCTTAAAAAACAAACAAACCTATTGGGTGGGAGAGCCATTCAAACTTATAAATCTAACTCTACTTATGAGACTCCTCAATATGAAACTCATTACATGTCAATATTTTGAGAGATAATCTCTTCTGTCAATGTAATGAAGCATACTGTCACACCCAAACAAATTAAGGCGTGACCGGCACGGAATATGAAAACAAAACCTATATTCCGAATGCCTTAACTTAAGAAGCTCTAATTTTTAAACACTGAAGGCATCTAACAATAACATGAACCATTTTCAATATCAATAATAAAAACAAAAGATTCAATATTTCCAAAATAATTTTGACAAAACCTCCCCCTAAAAATATGAACTTCCGAAAATAGTACAAGAACACTTTTCAATATAAATAGCATTAACAGGGAGTTCTATTCCTTCTAATAGTCTAATTATGCATAATACACATAAAGGTTTTAACTATAGCTACGTGGAGCACCTAGAAAAAGATTTACTAAATACTAGAGCCCAAATTAATTTTAAAAAATTTCCATCAATCACTTCTTCACTTCAACTCAAATGATAGCCCCTCGATGGTCAGCTGGAGATATATGATCAGGCATAATATCGGAGACCAAAATAATATTTTTTTTCAGTGAATAACGTCCCAACAATAAATAATTTAACATGAATAAAAAAAAAGTTTAAAATAATCATGTAAGTTAAAGAGACAACAATTTCCATAAAAAAAATGTATAAACTTCATAATAAAATGGTTCTATAAAATTTTGAATAAAATCTTAAACCATTAAACTATCGTAGCAAATGTTAATATCACTTGATTTTAAGAAGTTACATAAATGAAATAAATACTTGTAAATAAATTAAATAAAAACCAATGGGATACAAATTCACCAAATAATCAGTTTCATAACTATAGGGACTTATCAGAACAATTAACAAACGTGGACACACAGTCCACGAGGGTAAATAACCAAACGCGGCTTGTGCCACGAAGACAAACGTGGACACACAATCCACGAGGGTAAGTAACCAAACGCAGCCGAAGCTACGAAACAAACGTGGACACACAGTCCACGAGGGTAAAACTAATCAAACGCGGCTTGAAGCCACGAAATCAAACGCGGGTGCAAAGCCCACGAATCACAAACGTGAGAACAGAGCTCACGAAAATTAAACTAGCTAGTCGTTTACAATGGCGCGCCAAGGGCTAACGGAACTGCCGTTAGCAACCAATGTTCTGTATAAAGTCCCCTTCAAATTCATTTTCAAACATGTGAGAAAATCATCACTTTCAAAATAAAATTTTCATTTTTCAATGTCAAACTCGCATGAATCGTTTTTCCATAACAATTCAATAATTTCCAAAATAAAATCCCATAATCAAAGTCCAAACTTATTTTTATTGAATAATCAACATTTCAAAAGTGATAAAGATAATTGCACAAAATAAAGAAGTTTAATCAATAAATTATCCAACAATCACATCATTGTTATTAAAATGATTTACATAAAAATATAATATCTTAGTAAAGGAAATTTTTTTTTTTTATAAAATCAGTTGGGACGTTATCCACGTACCTACAAATACTCCCAGCTACTAAAACTCACCCCTTTACACACCTATCAAGTTTCTTTTTCCTCCAAATATCCTAAAAAGTTATATAATAAAATTTTAATAAATTATCTATAAATTAAATAAATTCCCTTCCAACACTAATATAATCACAATCAACATATATAATTCAAAGTTCCCCAATGCTCCTCCATTTATATCCAAAATTCCTCTATAAAATTTTAACCATAATCACTTCCTTCATTAGGATAGGACTCTGTTATGTCTTATGTCAAATGCCTCAGCTGTATCATTTTCCACCACTTCAAATAAGCTTTTTAACCTTCAACCTTTTGTCTCACAAATTTTCAAACATTCATAGTTAATTTCATCATACTTTTCAAAACTTTTAATTCCAATCCCTAAGAATTTTAGTAAGCATTTAAGCAAACATTTCGAGGGCAATTTCCATTAACCAAGTCATACGACAAGCATCCAAGAATTTCAACAACTTCCAACATTTAATTCCATAATTAAAATTCAGCTAAACACCATAATCAAATAACTTCCAGCACTAACTGAAACAACACCCCAATCCTTTCCCGAAAAAAAAAAAAACGCACCACAGCAATAATGAGAAGCAGGGGCTGCATCAATCGGCCATAGAGGAAAGAATGGTTCGGTATTGCTGGTAAATTCGAAGAGGGAAAAGAAAGAACCAGTGTCTTACCTCAAACTGAAGTTCAGTGGCAACTACGACACCTCAGCCCACAGACAACACCAAAGAAGATGAGAAAGGCTTACTGTTCAACGAGGAGGAGGAGCAGAAATTGAAGACCAAAAGAGCGAAAAAGAAAGCTTGAACTCGCTATACCCACACGCACGAACGTCCGGTAGCTTAGAAGGAAGGAAGATGAAATTTGAACACGCCCATGCATCACCGTCAGCCCACAGCAGAGAAGAAACAGAGGAAGAGCTTTAACTACTTGACCCCATAGAGGCAGACGAAGGAGAGAGAGAAAGAGAAAAGACGAACTGCCGGTTGTGGGGAGATGACAACACTGCGGCAAGGTTGAGGGGAGTGCGACCGGAAGAAGAGAGAATTTGACACAAGCTTCTGATTTTTTTTTTTTTTTTTTTTTTGTTGCTCTCTCATGCTCACCGAGATACGGGAAGAGAATTTTAAATCATGATACCCATTGAGTAAAATTACAATAAACCTTTTAGATATTTTTGTTGAGTTACCGTAGGAGCAAGGGCACATGTGTAATTTTCTCACCCTTCCATTACTTTCCAGCGTTCAAATGGCGGTGGAGGAAGAAAAATCTGACATTAATAAATAAATGAAAAAATTACAAGGAAGGGCACGATGAAAATTACAAAAAAGAATACAAAATTTCTCTATAATTAAAAACAAAATAAAATCAAACTTTTACTTAATAAAATTCAAACTCTGAAACTTCAAAGAAATCACTAACATAAATTTCATTAAATTACCTCTCTTCACTTGTTATAAAACTAATTTAAATAAAATATTATTTAAAAAAATTATTAATTTATGTATTTATTATTTTTTTTATTTTAAATTTAGGGTCATTACACATACTCTTTGTGTTCAACGAAAAAAAAATCAACTAACATCCAAGTATCCAACACATTTAAGATCATTCTAGAAAATTGGCTCCAGATCAGATAATGGATTCACGAAGGTAGACCTAAGCATGGATCACGTCTCATCTTTATATAATGGACCAAGCATTAGTTAAAAGACTTTTGGGTTAAATCAAGTTCACTTTAACGATGACGTTGGTTTGGACGTTTGGTGTCTCTAGTCATCCCAGAATTAGAACTCTGATCATCTTCATATTTTGACTCTAAACTGTATGCACAGATTATTGATTTTCATTTTTAATTTCTAATATCCACAAATGTTGGTGAACTATTGAAGTCCACTCAGTTTGCTTTAGTATTGTAAATGAATATTAATCCAAACAATAACTTGCACGCGTAAATTAGGAACTAAAAGTGCTTATAATTCTTTCCCTTTTTGTACACGTCTACTTTCATTTGAAAGCAGTCAGCCTCGTAACCAAAACTACAAATAGAAACGTAACTTGATTTCTGGTGTATTTTTTATCTTACCGTACATGTCAAATTAATGTATAAACTCTTCAAATTAAACTGAAATGGTGTAAATGAGAAATATATATCGATCATAGCTATTCTCATATGGACACTGGGTCAGATCAAACAAGAATTCCGAATAGAAAATATAACCAGGACACCCAAAAGAGACTACTAAGCTAAGGCAAGAAGAAAGAGAGAAGATGATGAATCCGAAAGAAGAACTCAAAGATAGAGCCTTACCAAAGAAATAGCAGAATCAGATTTTGACTTCACCGGCCAAATCTTAAAGAACCAGAGATATGAGTAATAGAAAGACCAGGTGGAGAAGAAAGAGAACTATTATACAGAAAACAAATAAGTAGATATCATCCTTCCCGTGAGCTGCATTTTAATAAATTATATATATATATATATATATATAATATAACCAAGCACGTCACAAAACGCAAAACATGACCGATTCCTTCTTGGAAGTTGCTACTTTTGTCTTCTTCCCAATTTTTTATTTTTTAAAATGAGCAGTAGTTTTAAAACCTTTTGGTCAACCCTTTCTCCTTGAATCAAGCCATCGTTCTTATTAAACATAGGGTTCATTTTAAAAATTATAATAAATTTTGTTTTTAATTTTCGTTATTTTTTGTTTTTTGTTTTTTTTGGTCAATGTTCTTTCTTTATTTAATGGTCAATGCCAATGGTGTTTTTATTATACATGCAAATGGTGTGTTAAATATATGGGGAAAATTAAACATTTAATTTGGTCCTTATAGTTTAATTATTGTCCGATGTTGAAATTAGTCCCCTAGACTTTTTTTTTTATTGTGTACAAATATCCTATTTGAAGCAATTCTTTTTGAAACACGGTTGAGTACTGAATGTAAGCAACTCTTCTAACCAGGATTCAAATATTATTTCGGAATGTTGTGACTTGTGAAGGATTAACCTCTCTATGAGATTCAATATAGGTTTTAATATTTTAATTTATAATGGAGTCGATTAAGTTTTGGCCTATTAATATGTTGATCCCTCCTTTTTATCCCTTTACCTTTCATGCTGTAGTTCAGGAATATAGCCCTCGGGGTTTCTTTATTATCGAAGAAACCCGTTCTATATTATAATTTTTAAAAGCTTTTTTATTTAACACATCCCTTCAGCTTCTGTTAGAGAGGTGGTTATTTTTGGTAGAAAAGGGGGGACAAAGCCCCAAAGGATATACTTAATGATTTATTATCATTTTTTTGTGATCATTTTTTATTTATATGTTTAAACGCTTCAAAATATTTCTACGACTCGAAAATTTAAAATCAATTACTACATTACAAAAATAATAGAATTCAGATAAATTATATACAATATCTCATTCAAACCTTGCTATTAAAAATTAAAATATATTATAAAATTCAAAGGTATTAAAAGTTAGATCGGATATTAAAAATTAAGGGAGTTCAGATGATAGAGATAGGGTGGGTGTGGGTTCAAAGTACATACCCTCTTAATATGTTAAAAAGATTGGAGTTAACCGGTAAAAGTACTGGTTTAAGATTTAATAGCCGAAGTTACTAGTTGTGATGAATAACTTAATGGTTACAACTTATATTTATATATTTAATATACTTTTATCCAATTAAATTATGACAAGTGGACTTTAATTCATTAATAATATTAATAACAAGAGTTTGTTATGGAATAAATAATCTATAGAATATCTACATATCTTAATTTAATTAGAAATAAGCACCTTAAGTATATAAGGTTAAGTGTATAAGTTTTTTCCCAAATTAATATATTTTAATTATACACTAATCATTCTAAATAATAAAAATAAAAATAATAACAAAAATTAATAGAAATTTATTTGTTGTCAATTCTTGTTAAAATGGTAGAACATTGTTTAAGATGGTTTGAACTTGTATAGAGAAGGCTGTGAGAAGCACCATGGCTAATGGGAAGAGTGGAACATATAACCTTGAAACCAAAGGGGTAGAGAAAGACAAAAAAAATTTGGAAAAATTAATCTTTTAATCCTTCAACTTTTAACTTACTTGTAACTCAGTCCCTCAACTATGACTCGCTGCGACTCAGTCCCTCAACTATAACTCGCTGCAACTTAGTCCCTCAGCTTTTGATTTACCTATAACTCGGTCCTTATTTTTTAATTTTTCTTAAAAAAAATTATCAAATAAGAGGGATAAAAAAATGCTTATATATTATTTTAAAATACCCTCTTCTTATTCATTAATGTGAGATATAAGCTAATATGAAAAAAATTAACAAAGGTTAAGGGACTAATTTGTAAGTGATTCAAAAGTTGAGGGACTGAGTCATAGGCGAGTTATAGTTGAGGGACTGAGTCATAGCGAGTTATAGTTGAGGGACTGAGTTACAAGTGACTTAAAAATTAGAGGACTAAAAGATTAATTTTTCCAAAACATTTATACAAGTTAATGGTTGAACAAGACATCTTCGTTAACAATATTCTAAAAACATTGACTGATGATAAAGTATAATGGTGTCATGCAATTCATATAGTTGACTCCACATAATGGGATAAGGCTTCTTATTATTGTGTTGTGCCTCAAACAAAATTATGTATAATCGAAAAACACATATGCATTGTAAAAAAAAAAATTATTTGCCTTCATCAGTAGTAAAACTAAAACTAAATCTATAGATTTATGCAATGCAAAATAAAAAAATAATCAGAAAAGAATATAGAAATGTGAAGAAAAAATTTATAATTAAAAAATGCAAATTTTTTATAAATTACCTTGTTAATTTATGATGTCGGTCCGACCGTCCAAGAAAGAAAAAGCTTAATACAAAACGCCAAAGTTGTATTATATGAAGAGTGTGATGAGCACATAAGGCTTTAGTTTTTAAATTTAGAAATATATTGGAAACTAAATTTTGTAAGCTTTCTACCAGTTGTAACTGATATTCTTGACTTTCGATTGACATGATGTTACCCTGAAAGTTTTAAAGTGGTGTAATGCTACCTTATAATTAATAATATTTGATCAACACTATCAGTTAGTTGAACAATTCTAAGAGTTAAAGAGTATTTTTGCTATGGAAAGTATATCTAAATCAGCGATTATCATCATTGGAGCAATTCTTTCCCTAGTAGTGTGGATGAGTCATAGGAGATGCCTTAAGAAAATTCCCATGGAGTGACAAGTAGAATCCTTGAACCTATTTATGTTGTCCATGGATATGTCCAAGCAAGTCTATAATTATCATGGTTGAGCACAAACCCAAACCTGCTCGTGGACACATGCTCACACTTGCTCATGAATAAAATGAGGACAAGTCCAGACTTGGCTCAAGGGCAAATCTATAAAGTACTCAGGTAAAGCCGTAAAGTTGGTTCTATGCTTAGTCAACCTTGAGAAAGGGTGGCCTCTAATCAAAATCAAGCAATATGCATCATTTTTAATATTGATAACGGGTTATTGAATCCTTGTTGTAATTTGAATATTGATGACTTAAGGATATTACATTAATTGAAAGTTTAGGATATCAATTGCTTACTTATGAATGAAATTACCCTTTAACTCTAACCAAAATTGTTCAATTAACAGTCAATGCTTGTCAAATGATAATATGAGGGGACATTGTACCATTTTTTAAACTTTCAAAAAAATATATTATGCCAATCAATAGTTAAATATATCAGTTGTACTTGACAAAAAATTTTCAGAACAAACTTTCCTTTTAAGCCTTGATAAAATTCTCTCATTTAAATTACCTCTGTAAAAACGATTATTCTTTTGAAATGATAATAAAAAAAATAAATTTGATGTTAGACATCTATATATCAAATTATAATATCAACATTAATATGATAACAAGAAATTAAATATATATTTAACAAAAAGACAATTTAGCCCATTGACCCACTGTCATAGCTGTTTTTTTTCCCGCTTCTGTTGACCGACCAACTAGGCATCAAGTGAAAGATATTTATTTTACTTTTGTTTTGGCCGAGAGATTTGCATTACTTTAATATGACTTGAAAATGGAACAGGTAATGGTCTTATAATAAAAAATATGCGACTTATTTAACTAATGTATTAATATGACTTGTATATATTGACTAGTAAGGGTCAAGATGTTACCTAGGAGTGCACGAGATGCTCCTATATGGCTAATATATTAGTTGGCAAATCATTATTATATTCCCTTCATCCAATATATAATATACTTTTAGTGTATATATATATATATATATATATCAATAAAACTCATTAAATACACTTTACAATCTTATTTTTTAAAATAAAAAATATAAACTTATAAAAATGCATTTTATTTAATATTTCATTTGCAAAAGAATACTAAATAGATATGAAAATATAATAGTATAAGTAATATCGGGAAAACATCACTCATGAAATCTTATTTTTATCAAAATATTTTATATTTTGAGATAACAAATCTCCTTATAATATGTCTTATAATTTGGAATGGAGGTAGTATTTCATAGTATCTCATGTCAATATTAATAAAGATAACCAATTAATACATTATAAAATAATACCTACCCTACTCTTATACATTATTAAATAAAACTACCTAACTACTCTAACATTGCCAATTATTTTATCCTTCCTGCTGTCGCCAATGTGAACATAAAGATGACTTGGTTGTAGAAATTTGGTTATTTCTACAATTAAAGTTAACATCAATGGTATTGGTAGGGGCTATCATCATCAGTTGAACAAGTGATTAAGAGTTTGAATCCTCGAGGGAGTAATCTCTGCTCTCGGCAGAACCTATTCCAATTATCATTGACTTTAATAGTCCAGACATTATTATTTATGATATTGATCCAATTCAACAATATCTTTTATATGTAAATAATGTATACCATTGATAATCAGGGTCACCTAATGGTGATTTATTTAATTTGCAAAATTTAAAATATGTTATTATGTAATTAAGTCAATGAAATTAATGGTCAGCTATATGAAACCAAGTTATTAAAAAAATATTAAATGCATTGAATGCAATTGACATTATATCAAATGTACATTAAAGCAAATATTACTAATTAACATTTAAATATCCACAGTAGACTTCGAAATGGTCTCTAAAGTCGGTAGAGGCGTAAGATCCTCACTACCTATGAAGACGAAGATAAAGATTGAAAAGAGTAAGGAAAGTGGAACTGTCTCTCATTGATCTTTCTTTCTTTTCACTTAGCGAATATCTGAATATCTGTATTCTATAATATTATAAATCTCAGTCCCTCCTGTGCTTTTTATCTGTTACATTTTACAATTTTTTTAATCTTTTATATAAGTTACTTTCT